TGGGGCTAGCTGATCGGGACAGACAAGTGTGTGGAGAGGATCAATGAGATGGTGAACAGGGCCAAAAGGAAAGCAGGGGTGGACCCTCTGGTACCTCTACGAAGCTTGGTGAGTCGGGTAGAGCGTGGGGATTAAGTCACAATAACACTGAGACATCTAGTTTGAATTAGATGAGTCTGACAACAACTGCAGAGGGACAGGCCTTGGGGTCTTAGTCTTTGGTCTAGAAACTCACATGATCTCATCCATTCTGCGGCGTTAGTTGTCACCTAAACATCACAACAACTGGAAGAGCACAGGGCTTTGGAGAGCCACTGAGAACTTGGTTTGTCACTCAATATCTGTGTGACTTTAAGGTTACTTACCTTCTCTAAGCCTCAGTTTACTTATTTGGAAAATGCAGGTAACAGTAGCTACCTCAGAGTTGTTGGGAAAGTAAAATGACAACACATCCCAGGGTGGCTAGCAGAGAGCCTGACCCATAAGCACTCATTAAATGTTTGCTGTTATTTCCAGCTCAGGCCTTTCTCCCAAGTTGCTATAGCTTTGGCTACCTCCTGAACTCATTCTCAAATGTTCTGCAGGGACAGCCAAACCCCATGTATTCCAGACCGAGCTTATCTCCTCAATTTGTTCCTCTGGCTGATTTTTCTGTTAAGGATACTGTTGTCCTTTCAAGCTCCAAATGTGGCATTGTTGAATCCCCTCTTTCTGTCCATTCCCAGTCCAAGTTCTTCTTGCAGCCTTTGTATGGGTCATTGTGTGCGACAGAAGGAGGACTAGGGCTGGATAAGCAGGGCCCAGATGTAGAGAGAAGGGGGCAGATAACAGGAGGGGAGGGGTTTGAGAAAAGAGCTGGGTCTGGGACCCTGCTCCATTCACTTACCTCCCATGTGTCTTAGGGCCTATCTCTGAGTGGTGGGGACCAGGAGGATGCCGTGAGGATGCTGATGGAGGAGCTGAGGGACCGATTTCCCTACTTGAGTGAAAGCTACTTAATCACCACCGATGCCGCTGGCTCCATCGCCACAGCTACGCCAGATGGTGAGGAGGTGGTGGGAGGGTGAGTTTGAGAACTGGTTTTCTTGGGAAAGCCCCATGGATGTAGTTGGCAGAACTTGTCTTGCAAACATCTAGAAAGCAACCTCCGTCATTAGTTTAAGTCCCTGCCAAAGCAAGGACTGGACAAGAAGGAGGGAAAATTGGTATCTTGATGAGAAGCAGGGAGTGGAGTTAGCCATAAGACTCCATCCCAGAGAAGGGGGCCCTGAGGCTGCCTAAGGAAAGCAGTAAGTGTTGAGAAGAAAGTGGGAGGAGCTCTGGTATTGTAAAGGCATGGCTACCACAAGATTGGCTCTTGAAGCTCAGCTGCACGGTATTGGAGAAGTTACGGAATTCTCTGAGTTTCAATATCCTCATCTATAAAATGGAGGTAATTGTACTGATAAGGTGATTTAGAGTATTGAATGAGTATCACTGTGAGCAGGGTCTAGCACTGCCCCTGGCACATGGTCAGTACTCAGGAAAGCCTGGCTGGGCGAGGAGACACAGACTCAGTCCTCTCTGTCCCCAGAGAAGGGCTATATGTGATTGGAGTTTCTCTGAGAGCCAGCAGGCCCCCTCCACCTCCCCCCCCTCCAAACACACATCCTTTCATAGCTGGGTCAGTTTTTTTCTGTAAGACTAGGTGGTGATCCTTTCGCCTGGGGCTGGTTTCTGTCCTGTTTTTCCTCAGTTGGAAACTGCTCTGTTCAGGTCCTTGGCTGCACTGAGCCTCCCGTGCCCTTTCCCCAGGTGGGATCGTACTCATCTCTGGGACAGGCTCCAACTGCAGGCTCATCAACCCCGATGGTTCTGAGAGTGGCTGCGGCGGCTGGGGCCATATGATGGGGGACGAGGGTTCAGGTGAGCTCATGCTGACTGGTCCTGGCTAAGGGTCCTGGACCCTTCCCTTCCTGCAGCTCCCCATCTTCTTTCCCCTGCCCCCACGAGGCTCTCTGGGCATAGCTCCTGAATCTGATGGTTCTGAGTACAGAATAATGACTGAGGGATCTTAGAGATGCAAATACTGCACCAGTGGCAGGCCTGCTCTTCAACAGTGCTTTGCACCCAGGGTTCAGGTTCATGCCTCAACATAATAGCTTGCTGCCTACCTATGTTGACTTTTGGAGTCATTAGGGAGGAATCAACACTGAAGGTTAAGGCCATGGGGGCCGGGAGATGCTGTAGCAGTCTGCTAGTGGGAAGGGAGTATAGAAGCTTTTCCTGCTATCACCTGTTTATAGGCAGCATATATATATTTTCATAGGGGTCCTTGGGATTCAGCTCCTGGCAGTGATCCAGTGGTTTGAGTATTACCTGGTGTGACAGTATTACCTGTTCTGTCTTCCCCCTCCCATTTTCCTTTATGTGGATCAATCAGATACAGTTTAATTAGAGGCCGCCAGGCTGGGAATTGGGACACCTAATTTGCTGTAATATACCAGCTGATCACTAACCCTGCCTAGGTCTGAGTTTCCTTCCCTGTGAGCTCAGGCAGATTGCCCCATTTTCTAGCCCTTTCTGTTCTCCACAGCCTACTGGATTGCACACCAAGCAGTGAAAATAGTGTTTGACTCCATCGACAACCTAGAGGCAGCTCCTCATGACATTGGCTACGTCAAGCAGGCCATGTTCAACTATTTCCAGGTACTCTCCCTGCCCCCAGTAAATATGCACACCTGGGAGTGAGCAGGAGTGAATGTAGGCGAGGGACTAGGTGAGCCAAAGGAAAGTCAGTGTAAGTCACGGGTCAGAGCTGGAGGACAGAGAAATCATAGGTGAAGACAGGATTCCAAATGATGTATGTGGCGCATTCCAGGAGGGTGTCAGGCATGAGGAAGGGGTAAGTTGGAGACAAGCGGTTGGCCAGACTTCATTCTTGACCCTGCTAGGTGGTGAAGGCGGACAACATTCTAAGCTGGAATGAGAAGTGCAGAGTGAGATCAGGAGACAGTGTTCACAGACAGACAGCAGGTAAAGTCTGAACAGCTGTGTTGGACAGGAAGCTGCTTCTGGCCTCTATGGGTCAAGAAGGAAAGCCATAAAGAGGAGGACAGGGACAGTTCCTGGGGGAGGTGTAGCATTCTACCCAGGATATGGGGGATTGATTTTACTTCTTGTCTGGGCTGTGCTCATTTGTAGTGGGTTTGGAAACTTATCTCTAGCTGAACCAGAGGTAAATAGTGGGAGAGGAGGAGGAAGAGACGTTTATGTGATAGACATTTCTCTGAATGAGGGCCACTTAAGTTAGCTAGGGCCAGGGAAGGAGATTAGAAATGCTGGAAAGTAGGACCTGTATTCTCAAGGCTAAGGGGTTGGTAATTAAAGAGAAACTGGCCTTGGCCAAGCTGGGGAAAAGGAGGGGCCAGGAAGAGAAATCACTTCCTATAGCAGTTGCTGTAGGAAGTGGAATTAAAGTATCCTGACTCAACAGATTGGTTCTAAACCCCACAAATATGTCTCCCATTCCCTCTTATCCTTTGGTCATTTTTATAAGGTAGTTACAAAGATTAAATGTAACGTGAATCATGCTTAGTACATTGCTGGGGGTGCTCCAATTTTAGCTCTCCCTTCTTCTATCTTAGTAATGTATTCTGGGAATCACTGATTCCTCAGGATCTTCAGAGATATTATGGGTGGGTTAAGTTGTGGTGGAAGAAGGACCTGTGGTCAAATAAGTTTGGGGCAAATAGATTTCTTAGGGTTCAGGGCTTCTCAGAGCCTTTAACTTGTTAAGTTGCATTGTGACTCTCTAGGGGAGAAATGCAGTGTGCAGTAGTCCTTAGATTCCTTTGACCAAAGAAGTCTTTTCAAGAGCACCTCAAGGAACTATAGAACACTTTGGTGAGCACAGATCTGTGCTCTGTGTTGTATCCAAGCTAATCTGTAAGGAGCAATGGCATTTGTGTTGGAGAACACAGAACTTCTCTCAAATGAGAAATCTCAAATCCTTGCACTCTAGAGTTCAAAAAACAAACATTTCAGCTTTTCAAACAGTAAAGATATCAGGAAGGTCAACTTGGGTAAACAGGCAGAATTTTCCTTTGCTTCTGATGACTGTCTTGTGCCCCTTCTCTTTCAGGTGCCAGATCGGCTAGGCATCCTCACTCACCTGTATAGGGACTTTGATAAATGCAGGTTTGCTGGGTTTTGCCGGAAAATTGCAGAAGGTACTGAATGTGGGGTGGGGCTTTTTCAGCCTTTGTTCCCCCAAAGACCTACCAGAGAGGAGTTTGGGGTGGAGTAAAGTTCAGCTGGGGACTAGAAGCCAATTTAATTTCCCTTTGACCAAATAACCTCACTTCTCTGCCACCATGGGCCTTGGTACTGGTGAGCCTTGGGGTAGAGGCAGAAGGACATGTCGGTTGTATTGACAATTGTTTTATACTACCTCTGTTTCTCTTCTTGATAGCTATCATGGCTTGTGCAGGCTGCGTGTCTGTTTCTGAGAAATTTATGAAGCAGTTGTCTTTTGGGCAAATCTATAACTTCTTTTTGAAACCAATGATACCCAAAGAACTTGGGGATCCTGGAGAGGTTAGGCATATTTGGTTGGGTCAGGAGAAGCTGAACCGTAGGGCTTGTCTGCACTTTGTTCTTTCTCTACTCTATGGTCCATACTCACTCAGTTTGGATTCTTGCAGCCTCAGGGCACTGTAGGACCCTCTTAGGTCCTGCTGGACTGAGGCCCCTTCAGAGCAGAGCTGGGAAGGAGCTGAGCAACAGGATTTAGGTGGGGGCGCCCCAACAGGAGCACCAGCCAGCTGCTCAGATATGGTTCTGGGTTCCCAGAGCTGAAAGACCTTCAAAGACAGACTCAATAACTCAGTGTAAGCTAGAGTATGAACCAGATGCCAGTGTACTTCTCTAGTGGGGGGTTGCCCTTCTCAAGTGCCTGGAATGAGCCATACAGGACACCTTCCTAGGGTAGAAGTACCTGGTAGGGGTAGGGGGAGTAAGGATGGAGTGGCAACTTTGGAGGCTGGCTTACCCATATGCCATGAGATGGGCATCCATTCCTGATTGGAAAAAGACTTAGCTATGGGTACTCCCGCTGTTGCTGCCCTGCAACAGTGAGTGACAACAACTGAGGACTGGTGGTTCCGTAGGTACTCACCACTCCCCTTCTTCCCCCGCACCCCAGGTGCTCAGCAGGGAGATCCCCTTTCCCGTTATATCTTCAGGAAGGCTGGGGAGATGCTGGGCAGACACGTTGTAGCAGTATTGCCTGAGATTGACCCGGTGAGTCGAGGTGGGAAATGAAGACTGGGAGCTGCTGGGCCAGATTTGGCCCTTCTCGTTAGGGATGAGACAATCCCATCAAATTCTTTAAACTGGTTATGATTTTAAATGAACTTCGATTTGAGAAAAATTCTGTAGAAAGTCTGTAACACAAAAAAGTTCTTTGGTCCAGGGCCTCCCCTCTGGCTGGTTCATGATCTGTATTTATAGGTAGTAAATTGGTTTAATGTGGTGCATGTGCTGTCCCTTCTTTCAGTTGTTTCTACTATCTCTCCCTTTTCTTTTCTTCCTGTATTGTTACTTGACATTTTTTCCTTTCCCTTCTCTCCCCTGCCTTTATGAATCTGTTTTCCTTCCTTTTTTTCTTGAGCCCACCTTCTGGTTCTTGATCAAGAGAGTAAGTGGGATAGGTTGGGCTGGTCTTAAGAAACTACCCCCCTTAGCATTGGAGAGGCTTGGTCACTCCCAATATCCATTTCTGCTCTCTGCCTAGGTCTTGTTCAAAGGAGAGATTGGTCTCCCCATCCTGTGTGTGGGCTCTGTGTGGAAGAGCTGGGAGCTGCTGAAGGAAGGTGAGTATGGGGTGGGAACAGGAGGGGACTGGCAAGGATGAGTGATGGAGCTGGAAAAGTAGTGACTTGGGAAAGCTGACAGGCCACTGATACCTTAGGCCAAGGCTCTCAATCTTCGCTCTGCCAGGGAGCCCATCTAGCTTCCTTGGACTCTTAAAAAGATGTTCTTTTCTAAGTAACTTACTAAAGAAGCACCATTTTTTAAAAAATAAAGACAAATCTAACTGAAAATCAGAGCTTCTGACCAGCATGTGGTGACAGCCCTAGTCAGTACAGTCCTATAGTCCTGAAAGTAGCTCAAGGACCCCTGTTGCTACCTTGGAGATCCTGACATCGGGTGCTGGGGGCAGCTGGCTCTAGTACCTTACAGCCGTTCCTGGGCTCATGTGCCATGGTGCACCGTCTGTTGGGGATTTGGCATGTGGGCCCCTCTGGGACCTCCGTAGGAATGCCTCAGGGCTTAGGCCTCTTCTCTCCTTCCTCTTTGTCCCTTCCTCTTTGTCCCCACCTTCTCCCTGGTCTCCCCCACAGGCTGCTGGTCTCCTCTCATCTCTGTCCTCTGCATTCTTTCTCTCCAGGTTTCCTATTAGCGCTGACCCAGGGCAGAGAGATCCAAGCTCAGAACTCCTTCTCTGTCTTCAGCT